CAAATGCCACCCTCCTCCGAGGTTAATAAATCTAATCCTCGCTGGTTTTAGAGCATCACAGTGGCCGGGAAATGTATTTGGTCCCGGAGGGAGAGGATGGTCTGAGCCACTTGTTGGAGGTCCTGGATGAACCGAGAGGAAAACTGACAGTAAATAGTTAGGGAAGGAGTCAGTGTCACTGTTTCCAGTGGTGACGCCAGCAGTTGTACCTAGGTAGGTGAGAAGGGGTAAGGCCTGAGCCACCAGTTTGCCATGCTGTACCACTGTAAACTGTGATGGGAATGGGCAAGGGATCTTCTCCGGGCACCACCCCAAATTTTGGGAAAAGGAACACCAGGGCCCTACCACCTGGTGGGTAGCAGTGGGAAATCTGAGCGTCACAGAGGATGGAGGTGTTGTGAGGCTTCGGGCATGAGGCTGGTGCTAGTGCTCAGGGTCAGGATATTATTACAGCGTGACAATTCCAGTGTGCCCAGAAAGTGTGTCTCCAAGTTAAAGCAGTCTGCGATACCAAAGAGAAAACTGTGGCAGAGATAAGGGGTGGTAGTGATAGTTGGTTCAGGGCATTAATGAGTGGCAAGGTTAGAGAGTCTGACAGCCCACTGGGTGAGGCTACAAACGGCCGTCATGAGTCTGACCCAGGAGCAACACACAACCGACATTCTCCAAAGCAGCCAGGCAGAGTGTTGTTATAGAAAGTATTATAACATTTATATATCACATTATGCTAGATTAGAGTTATATACTATATAATTATATCATATATTTTAATATTTATGTATTATATAGAAGCTGATATGTGGGGGTTAAGGTCTGAAACAAAAAATGGAAGTGACCATGAGGACAGAGAGGTGGGATCAGGAAGACCTTAGGGAGGAGGGAGGAGCCTGTAATGCTTGTTGGATCACAGCTTCTATTTCTCTCTATACCTGGGTGTCGGGAGAGCGGGGTGCACATTCTTCGTGGTTTGATTGTGCCTGCCGGGTGTCTGCTGAGCTGGTTTGCCAGTGACCCCCTCCTCCCAGCTGGTGTCCCATGGGTCTTGAATGTAGAGGTAGAAGGATCCCTCCTGCGGTACTTAAGGATGAGAAGGGGAATTAGGATGGATCAGATTTGGTCCGTGGAATTCTGGGGGCAGGACCAGTATGGGCAACCTCAGTAAGTTTCTGAACACTTCTTACAGTAACCTTTCTGCGGTCATAGGGAAAACAGGCATGGGGTAAACCCCAGTGAAGGAGGGACAGAGAAGGACGGGAGTTATAGGAAACTGGATCGGCCTTTGACGGTGAACTAACGAGGAATTTCCTGGACCCTATTAGCATGGACTGTTGGTTAGAGGTGGGGCCTCTCAGATGCTAAACATCCATATGTAAGAGCTAACCTGGACAGGTGTAGATAGGAAGAAATAAAGGAGAGAAAGTTTAGAAACGAGAATTTTTTTTGCACCATTGGTTTGTGCAGTGGCACACTAGCTAGGTATCGTGGCCCACACCTGTATTCCCAGAACTCGGGGAGGAAGAGGCAGGCAGATCTCTGTAAGTTCAAGGCCAGCCTGGTGTACAAAGCAAGTTCAGTACAGCAAGTTCAGTACAGCCAGGAATACACAGAGAAATCCTGTCTCAAAAAAACAAAAAGAAAATTGAGCATGCCAGCTTTGGCATGGGTCTGTACTGAGGTCAAGCTGTTTGCAGTGACAGAGCAAGGCTCTAATAAAATCTAAGTCCACGGAGGAAGAGAGAAAAGGTTGTGAAATGAGCTCTGCCAAAGGGAGTTTTATAGGCTCCAAGTGGGAGCTGAGACAAGAAAGAAGCCCAGGAGGGCACAGAGGAGCTGTGAAACTTCCAGGAAGGACAAGGTCACAGAGGCCCAGAAGGAAGCTGCAGAGCTTAGCAGGCAGCTCTGAGGAGGAGGAGGCAAGGAAACAGAGAGGGTTCTAATACAGGAAGAGGAGTGAGTGGGCTCAGCAGGCATGGGAAGTAGTAGGCACCCCAGAGGCATAGGAAGTTCCAGGAGCCAGAGAGAGGACACTTATCCAATGGGCAAGGAGAGGTGGATGGTTAGATCAGGTGGAAGAAAGAAGCAGCTGGAGAAGTGAACTCTAGAATTTGGAGTGGTGTGTGCAGGAGCCAGCAGAATCTGTTGCTCCCGACATGACTTAGGGGAGTCCAATCAGCAGCTTGAATCTGATCAGCAGCTTGTTGGAGCAGCTGAGTCCCTTTGACAGTTGAAAGGCGCAGGTAAGAGCTATTAGTTTGGTCTATTGATTAATGGTTCCGGCTGGAAGAGCCCACTGAAAAGGTTCAGCAATGGGTGTAAGGAGGCACTCCTGTGAGGGGCCAAGGGCCGCCTCATATAGGGCCATCAAGAAGGGAGAAAGAAGGGGGTCCAAGAACATAAGCAGCCTAGGAAGGGTACAATTTCGTCCTTGGTGATGGGGACCGTGAGCGACTAGACTAGGCATTTTCTATCTGGGGTAATGAACTGAGGGGAAGATTGTGGGAGCTTGGAGTGAGACCCTATGTCCCTCTCCAGACAGGAAGTTTAGTAGAGTAGAGGTGTCAGCTTGGCTAATTTGTAGGAACAGACTTCAGAGAAGATCATTTATTGTATAACGTTGGATTTAGGAAGAGACAATGAGAGTAAAGCAGAGTCCAAAGCCTGGTCAGAGAGATGTTGATCCCTGAACCCCTGGGGTATAGTGGTCCAGGTGAGTTGGGTAGAAAGGTAGGTGTCTGGGTCAGTCAAGTAAAGGAAAAAATATTTTGTGACTGGGAGTCCAGAGGAATAGAAAAGAAGACATCCTTGAGGCTAGGGCACAAAAATAAGAGGCCCCGAGGGGATGGGGGTGCAGGGTTGGGTACTACGGAGAGGAGAGGAACCAGGCAGGAGGTTGCCACCAGGTTTTTGCTTTGTTGGGTTTTTTTTTGGGGTGTGTGTGTGTGTGTGTATTTTTTTAGACAGGGTTTCTCTGTGTAGCTTTGGCTAACCTGGACTCACTTTGAAGATCAGGCTGGCCTCGAACTTAGAGTGTTCTGCCTGCCTCTGCTTCCCCCGAGTGCTGGGATTAAAGGCGTGTGCCACCACACCCGGCTCCATTGTGCTTTTAAGCTGTGAGCATAGGGGTGCTCACAGCCAGCATTGCCTTTGGTGGCACCTTAGGCATGGCCAGGGTGGTTGGTGAGGGTTTGGGCAGACCCAATAACCCTCCCGACCGCATTTGAACCCAGAGGTTCCCGAGTTTTAAGAGGCTAGGGGGCCTGGGCAGTCGCTATGTTTGGCTGAAGCGCCTTAGCCAGCATTCTTGTTTTCAGGCTTTTTCATGTCCCATGGTACACCTTGAAGGCCACCCCTAAGATTTCTGACTGTGCGCTGGAGAGATGGCTCAGTGGTTAAGAGCACTTTCTGTTCTTCCGGAGTTCCTAAGTTCAGATTCCCAGAAAACACATGGTGGTTCACAACCATCTGTAATGGGACCTGATGCCCTCTTCTGGCCTGCAGGTGTACTTGAAGATAGAGCACTCATTTCTATATACATATATAATCATATTATATATGATTAAATATATATTATACACATATATTATATACATGTATATATGTACATGTGTGTATATATACATACATACATGGATGCTCAGTTCTTTGCTGCTTTTCTCCTGAACATGTGTAATATACATGTATACATTTATATATACATGCACTCATTTATATATACATATATATGTTATTGATTATATATGATACATATACATGTATATATTATATATGGGTATATATGATACATATTATATACAATTAAATATATGTCTATATAAGTTATGTATACATATATCTAATCTTCAAAAAAATTAAAAGATTTCTGCCTGTGGAATCAGGGGTCCCTTCTCAAGGTGTTTAAGTTTGGCCCTAATGTCAGGGAAACTCTGGGAGAAGTAAGTTATAAGGAGTTGTTTCCCAGCTGGGGTTCTGGGATCCAGACTGGTATATTGTAAGAGGACCTTTGTAAGACGACATAGGAACTGAGATGGGTTTTTGTGTTCGTCCTGGATGACCTCTTGGATTTTTTCATAATTTACTGCATTAAGGGTAGCCTTATGAAGACTGGCCAGGAGGCAAGTTATAAACTGATTCCTAGTTAGAATGCTGCCCTCCCTCCCCCAGATTGAGCTCCATTTGCATCCTGGTTGGGGATCACATCAACTAGGCTAGCGAGCGGGGCTAGTTTGGTAGATTTCCTCTGCAGGTCCCAAGCCTGTTTCCAGACTCACCACACCTCAGGGAGAAGGTTGTTGGTGAAACTCACATAAACATAATGTTGTAAGACTGGAATTCTTTAATAAAGGTAGAGGAATTAGCAGTCTAGGACCCCAATCTTTTTCCATCTGAGAGCCTCCTGCTCAGTTCTTTGCTGCTTTTCTCCTGAGCAGAGGCAACCACTCTCCTCCTGTGTCTTTCCCAGTACACCTCTTGTGTGTGGCTCCTTGTGGAGAACTGCCAGGGTACCTTTCCCTCAGAGCTCATTGACATTGGTCTTTCAGGCAAGTCAGGGTGCTGTGCTCTTTCCTGGGCCCTTTCCCCTACAGGGTTGTGGTTCCAGAGCACATGCTTAGTATAGCCAGTGCCCCGAGCCCAGTCCTCATTACCATCAAAATTAATTTACTGGACAGCCTATATAAATAGGTTTCTTCCAATAATCCGTTTAGTGTTTGTTTTTGTTTTTGTTTTTTTAAACAAACCGTAAGAACCATAAAAATGTTATGGCCAGGCATGGTGGCGAATGCTAAACCTCAGCACCAGGGAAGTGGGGGCAGAAGGCTAAAGAGATTGTAAACAATTAAAGATGAAGAAATAGAAGGAGGAGGAGGACGAGAAAGAGGAGGGGGGAGGAAGAAAAGAAGATGGGCAAGAGGAGGAGGAAGAAGAATCACAGGAAGAAAAGAGGAGGAGCGAGGAAGGAAGAACGGGGGAAGGAAGAAAGGGAAAGGAGAAGTGGGGGAGAAGAGGAAGAAGACAAAAAAAAAAAACAAAAAAACGGAAGAACAAGAACCACCGTAGGAAGGCGTGTCCTTGCGGAGGGGAGCCAAAGAAAGGACTACGATTCCCATAAGGCTCTGCGCCCAGCGTGCTGGTTCTCCCGACTTGCCCCGCGCACCACACCCGCCAGCTTTTGCATGAACCTAAGAGCGTCTGAGATGGAGAACCCTGAGGAAGCTGCGGACGGGAAACACCGCGTGCATCTGCACCCGGGCTCGCTACGCGACGCCGCGCCGGCTGCTCTGCACCTCCTGCCCTGCGAGGTTCTGGTGAGCCGGCCCGCCCCGGTGGAACGCTTCTTCACGCCCGCCGTGCGCCGCGGTGCGGACGGTGAGTCCCGGCAGGCCCCGCGCAGAGCCCAGGACGCGAGCGTCGTGGTCCGCGAGGGAAGCCGCCGACACTCTCCGGGGGCTAGGCGGGCCTGATGGCTTTTCGTGTCCCTTCCGCAGGGCTGCGGGTGTCGTTTCGCGGTCGTGGCCTGCGGGGTGAGGAGGTAGCTGTGCCGCCGGGCTTTGCGGGATTCGTGATGGTGACAGAGGCGATGGGACAGGGACCGATAGGGAAACCGAACTTCCCAGGGGACGCGGAGAACACAGCGGACGAGACACCGGAGTCGCTGGAGCGGGACTTCGTGAGCAGAGGGAGAAGGTAGGCGCGGGGTGAGGGCAGTATTTGCCCTCCCGATTCTGAACCCGGCCTTCCTTTCCCAGGACCGCTTCATCGGAGCCACCGGGAGCTTCAGCCACTTCACCCTGTGGGGTCTGGAAACGGTCCCTGGCCCAGACGCCAAAGTGCACAGGGCCCTAGGTTGGCCCAGCCTCGCTGCAGCGGTAAGTGTACATACACATGGGTCCTTTCCCCCTCAGGCGTGGTCGGCCCTCCCACCTGCTTTAAATCGTGTCCCTAGTGATTTAGGGGGATTAGGGCAAGTGAGCGCCCTGGGGGCCATGGCTCTGGAGGACCAGACTAAGGAGCGGTGGGAGGCTTTCTTAGAAGGGTTAGAACTCTGAGCAGCTGGGTCCCCACCCAACTGCTTCGTATTAGAATTCACACTAAGTAGAAGTGACCCCTGTTGAAGATTCACGCACAGGTGCCTGAGGACTGAGGGCCAGAGCATGAAAATGAAAACCACAGCTCCCTTCACACCAGTAAGCCAGCAGCATGTTCACTCTGGAGCTACTGTTTCTATCCCAATAAATGAATTTCACACCACCTGGGAGTCTGCGGGCACCTTAGTGCCCCGAAGCTGGCATTGCATGGCACGCACAGCAAGAACTTCTGATAGCTGTGTCTATACAAACAGTTTATTGCTGGGGGCGAGAGGGGCCAGAACTTTGCAACCAGCGCCCACCCCACCTTCCAGCTCCTCCTTTACAAAAGAAATTTTTACAATCACCAGTCCTCTGTGCAGAATGCTCCCCACCCGTCTTAAGTGTACACAGCTGCCTGGATCCCTCTGGTCCCTGTGTTCAGAGCAGACCTGGGCCAATAAGCCAGCTATCCTTGGAGTTGGCCTAGCCCTGAGCTTGTCTTGGTACTGGCCACTGCTTGGGGCCTCCTAGGCCTCTCCTCCTTTGGGAGAACGGTCCTCAGCCCTGTCTCCCTTTGCATGCCTCTTCGAAGCCCAAATGGGGTAAGACAGCATGTCAGCGCCAGTTCTGCCAGCTCTCTTGGTGCTGCAATGGGTAGTGCCTGGTCACCACTTTCCTCTCTTGCTCCAGTCTTTGGGAGTGAAGTGCAGACACTTGGAGTCAATTCGAAGGAGCCGCTTGAGCATAGCCCGCTCATGCCCATCCACGATGTCTTCCGAAAGTGTGAGGATATACTGGCCCTGGGCAAGACAGAAACCCAGCTTGTGGTCAGCTCAGAGGGCCTGCAACCTGTAGCCCTCACCTATCCCCTCAGCATGCCTCCTAACCTTGTAGTAATTGATGAGATTGAGATACTGCAGTGTAGAGATGACATCTTCTTTCTTGATACTGGTGATTTCACTGATCTCACTGTGGGACGGCAAAAGTTAGTCCCCTGAGGCTACTCATCTGTCCCCAGGACCATACAAGCCATACCATGCACCCCAAGGTGGGCATGTGAGCTCACTTGATGGTGATCTGTGGCCTCTCCCCGCTCTCCGACTTCAGCCCCATCAGGATCTCCAAGATGGTTTGAGACCAGTAACTTCGGTAGGATAGGAGGCCAAGATCTGACAAGGGTTTCTCGGGAGTCCCTGTCTTCCCTTCTACTTTAGAGAGTTCATAACCTAAAGCAGTGGAGCACAAGAGGCTGAGTAAGCATCACAAGTGTGCACAGCAGACCGCAGCACGAGGCCGTCTGGCTGCCTCACCCACGCTTGGTAACGGACTAGTGGCTTCCCTGCCTGCTGAGTATGGGAGCACGCTATGACTGGGTACTTGCCAGCCAGTGGAAGCTGCTGAGATGGGAGGCTAGATTTTCACTGCCCTCCCAGCCTGTGTCTGGGAGGAGGCTGGTGGGGAGTCCGTTGCAGTCTGAGAACACTGGAACCTTTTCGGTGTCATCAAGTTCCCTAGCTGTGACCCTGGGAGTGTCAGCTGCTCTTAATACCAGGATGTGCTGGGTGGTTAATGATGAACCAGGAAAGCACAGAGGTGCCTCCTCAGAGCCAAGTAACTAACCTTTAGTGGTCCTTTCCCTCTTACTTGTGCTGACTACCAGACAGCTAACATTCATGGTGAGACACTTAGGCTGTGCAGAACTGACAGCTCTTTATTCTTTTGTTAGGGCCCTGGGGAAGTGTGTCCCTGTTAGTTTGGAAAACCTTTCCTTACCCTCAGCTATCCTGACCTCATAATGGTCCCTGACACTTTCTACTCCTGGCTACATCTCTGCTGGCTAGTCTCACCCTCTTTGCTCAAGCACCCTTGGACAAGAGGGACCACAAAGGCTGGTGTCTGGGAAGAGAGCTGCTGGATTCACAGGGTATGCTGTCCCGTGAATCCCTGACTGTTCAATGACTGCCTCCATACCCATTTATCTAATGGTGCTTCTGTGTCCTACTGGGCACAAGAAGGTACATCTTAGTGGCCTGTCCCTTGAGTGTCCTTTCAGCTATTACCAGGATGTTTCCAGAGAATGTGATTCTCAACTTGGAACCATTTAATCAATAAAATATTCCAAACAGATCGTGACTTTGGTGTTTTCACCAGCAAAAAAGCTAAAGCAGCTTCCTTGACTCTTGGGTCAGAGAATGGTTAATGAATGGGCTAGCATTAGGAAACAATGTGATTTCAGAGTTCAGAGCCTGCTGGGGCTCAGTGGTGCACATAGCACTTTGGGAGGCAGATTTTTTAGTTTGAAGCCAGCCTGGTCTACAAAGTGAGCCCAGGACAGCCAAGATTACACAGGGAAACCCTGTCTCGGTGGCGGGGTAGGGGATGAGAGAGTGTAGGGAAACATGACAATGGACATGGACAGTCAATTCTCTCGAGGGGCTACAGTCCTTTTGGGCTTTAAAAGACTAGTAAAGGAGCAGCATACAAGTCTATTTTTAGTGGGTTAAATAGCCTTTTGAACACTACTGTCTGCAAGGTTCAGGGAAGTGACATAACCATTGGTCCTTACACAAGAACTTGTTAGGGGATACTTAGAGATGAACGCGAGCTAATTGAGCTACCCAGACCTCCAGACAAGAACACAGAAAGGATCCCAATTTGGGAAAAGTTGGGTGGCCCTTAGTCCTTTACCAAAGACAAGTGGATGCTGGGAACCTACTCAAGGATATTAGGCAGTCATTTGAAGAAAGGACCTTGGTAGTTTCCTCTTTATTTCTGGTGGCGGTCCTGGTGACTGGTGTGTCTGCACATGAAGTACGGTGTACATGAGAGTACACTCCTAACAGTTTGAGCTGTTGGCCTCCTAGACTCCTGGTTAGCACATACTCACTGAACTCGATAAGCAGCTTGCCGTAGCCCCGGCGCTGATACGGAGGCAGGGTCAAGATGCAGGCCACGTTGTAATCTTCTGTGGATTCCTTTTCCTAGAAGGAAAGTAGGTAGGTTTTAAGGAAGGCCGGGCTCAGGGCAGAGCTGAGGGACAGCCTGGGTGAGTCCTGACCTTGGAGAAGTAGCCCACAATGTGGAAGCCCTTGCAGTCATACTCCGTCATCACGTAGAAGAGGAAGGGGTCTGTGTCATAGTACAATGTCTTGTGGTCGAGGAAACACTTGGCCAGAAGACACAGGTTTTGTGAGTAACTCTGTAAGGGAAAAGGCCTGTCAGTCAATACTCTGGGGTACTGTGTTAAAGAGTTAGGTTTTATTATGGCATATGTGACTGCAGGCGTGTATGTACACGTTTAAGGCAGGGACCTGCTGGGAGCCCATTCTCCTTCCACTGTGGGATCTACAGAGTGAACTCAGATGGTCAGGACTTCCACCCACTGAGCCATCTCAAGGGCTCCAGTAGACAGTTGCAACTTCCCTTCCAGGACCTGACCCTCTCTGCCAGTCAGGCCATGACCACTGCCTAGATAGGTGTCCAGATGCCTGCCCCCGGGAAGCCAAACAGCTTCCATTACCCCACAAAGTCTTGCCTTCTGTTCCACCTAATACTCAGGAACATTTCCAAGCCAGGCATAGGAGTGCATGCCTGTATCTTAGCACCTGGGAGGCAGAGGCACTTTGAGTCAGTCAGGTGGGGATACACAGTGAGTGTTTTTTTGTTTTAATTTCTGCACGGAGTCTGGAGCCAGCCTTAGGCTAATGTTCTACCCATGTGGCTGTCCTTAGAGTCTGGGTGTCAAAACCGAAATGCTCTAGTCACAGTGATGCTTCCTGGGAACTGGTCTGCTATTCTCCAGTGGAGGTTTAAGAAACTGCCAGCTTCAGGGGTTCTCCCTGGAAAACTCTGCACTGGCTGCTTTACCGCAGTGATTTCTAGAGGAATTTCATATCACTTTCCAACTACCTGCTGGTCATTTACTCAAACACCACACGTAACACAGAGCAGTATGGAACTCTTGTGTCTTCCTCTTGAGAGGCTCCTCTTCAAGGCAAGCTCCCCCAGCAGCCCAGGTGTCTGCCTCTCTCCCTCTATCTTGGAGGACCTAGAGACATGTATTTCAAGGAGCTCCATACTTGTCACCTACAGAAACCCGCTCCTCCCCACTGACCTCGTTTCTGTCACCTGACCTTCTTGCCTCATCGCCTCTTTTACTTTTCACACGTACCAGCTGTCCTGGTATGTCAGTGCCCGCAACTGCCTTTAATATGTTTTCTCCTTCATGTCCAGGCTCACAGGTCAACCTGCACACTTAAAACAGGGTCTGATTGCATAGCTCTAGCTGTCCTGGAGCTCCCTACAGACCCGCAGAGATCTGCCTGCCTCTGCTTCCTGAGTGCAGGAAATAAAGGATATGCCACCATACCCAACCAAAGACTCTGCTTTTGTTTTTGAGAAAGCGTCTATGTAGTTCAGTGCGGCCTTGAACTTCAACTCCTGGCTTCAACCTCCTGGATATTGTGATTACAGATGTACCACCATAATGGGCTTAAAGCTGTTCTTTAAACTGCCTCTAATTTTATATTTATTACCTTTGCCACCTTATGTTTCTGTTGTTGCTTGTGGTTACCTGAAACACGGTCTTTCTTACTGAATAGCCTAGGTTAGCTTAGAAGTCACTATAGCCCAGGCTAACCTTGAACTCAGGAGCTTTCTGAGTGCTAGGATTATAGGCAGACACTACCTCCAAGCTCTGATGACCGCTTCTTTTGAAAAGAGCCAACCGACTCTTGTTTCCTGACACTTCTCATACTGGGATCTAAATAGCTGTAGTGTGTCTGCCTCTGCCATGACCTCTGAGGAAACAGAATTTGTCTAAATCCTAGTATTCCCTGCATTCCTTGAGCCCCTGCTCTTCACCAGGAATTCAATAAAGACAGGCTGAGAGTGGTCAAATGTTCTGATCAGGAAAAAGTGTTCACAGAACTTATTCCAGGCCCCACTGCCCTAGCCACTGACCTTGTTTTTTCGTCCATCAATCTCAAAAAAGGAGATGGTGCCCTTGCGGTAAATTTCATTGCCTGGAGGGTGCCGAAGGTCACATTTGGTCTAAGGACAAAAGGAGGATCAGGTAGGGACTGGTGAGGGTATACTGGGTAGGCAGCCTCCCAAGACCCCTCATACCAAGTGGCGCTGCAGACACTTGAGGCTACGGCCATATTTGAGGCAAAACTCGCACAGGTAGAGGACAGGCAGCGTGGTCAGCTCTTGTGGGTACGGAGAGAAGTACCACGGCTTGAGGCGGTGCCGGCCAAGCTCAATACACTCGATGTTCTTCATCCGGGTGACAATGTCGTCGTGACTCCGGTCAGACACCAAGCTGCCAGTCATGCGTGGCGCTGATGGTATTCCATCGGAGCTGTCCTGAGAGTCCTGCCCAAGGCAAATGGAAATACTAGGTAATAGCACAGTTAAGCAGAACACGGCTCACGACACTGCCCCAGGTTTCTTCCTTCAAGCCTAACAACAACTAAGGGGAAAGCATCATAATCTCCACTTTCCAAAGTAAAGCCAAACTGAGAAACTGGTAATGTGGTCAAAATAACAGCCAGTGGTTTATCTGCCTCCCTCTTAATCCCATCATGAGCCTTATTGCCTAACATCTTGTTTGCTTTTAAATAAGTCACTGAATGAACTCTCCTTGCCCAAGAACAAGCTTCCCAGCTTCCTTCTTCCTCTGCTTGATACTCACCTCATCAGTGCCCAAGCAATTAGATTTCCGCTTCCGTCCTGGCTGTGCTGCCACTGCCCTACGGGCTGATCCATTCTGTGGATGAGACAAGAGAAAGGCAACGTGAACGTGGAATCAGCCTGAAGGAGGTTGTTAAACAGCAAGAAGAAGAGAGGACAATACTGGAGGGGATTGTCAAGATGGCTTAGGAGTTAAGAACCCAGGCTGTTCATAAGAGGACATGGCTTCCTTCCCCAGCACCCATATGGTGGCTCTCAACCAGTTTCAGTGGCTCCAGTGCCCCCTCTTCTGGCCATGGGCACCAGGCACGCAAGTGGAGCACATACATAATGCACACAAAACACTCATACACCTAAAATAAAAACAAATCTTAAACAGACTTGAAGACTCACCTGGGGGAAGACCGAGGCTGGGGCTGTCTCGCTGGGCACTGGAGTTGCTGGGGAAACCACCTCCACCTTCCGTTTCTGCAGAGAGAAACCAAGAAAGGTGGGTCAGAAGGTAGAGAAGGTGGGACCTGAGAAGAAAGCAAGGTCCCTGGAATTGCTGAGGGTACCGTTGAGCGGTGGTTGGGTTGCAGGCAGGAGCTGGAGGAGAGCGGCTGGTCAGGCTCGCCACCGGGAATGGCCTCCCGCTCCTTGGGCAGGTTGAAGCGGAGTGTGATCTGGACCGGGATTGGCAAGGTCTTCCCGCTGGCCTGAGCGGAGGCCGGCTGTAGAGATAGGTCCAGGGTCTTCCTCTGGGGTGGGGATGGTGGTGGGGTGGCGAAGGGGAGGATGGGCCCCTTGGCATGGAGTGATCAAATCCCACTCTCTGCCTTCTCTAAAGCAGGCAATAGTGGACTCTGCAAGCTACACCTGCAATTCGGTCCCATCCTTTGCAAGCTGAGCTCATGGCAGGAGAATGCTGCCTCCTACCCATTCAGGAACCCCTGAGGCCAAGAGATGCAAGAAGGAAGAGGCAGGAGAGAAAGGTGAAATGGGGGACCTACTCACCACCTCTCTTTCGGGAGAGCCGGGGCGGGACCCAGGAAGTCCGTTCTTGGTAGGGGTCTTGGCCTCTTTCTTGGGAAATTGGATCTTCTTTAAGTCCAGCCGCTCCTGAGTCACCCATTCATCCAGACGTTTGTTGACTACAGCAATGAAAATGGCTCAGAAGGGGATGCCAGAGGCCACCCTCAACCCTATCCAGCAACCCCCACCTTCGTCCAGGCCCAGGACTCACAATCAATGTAATGGACATAGAAAAGCTTCCGGCCACTGATGTCCTTCACGCTCAGGATCTCAGCCAGGGCTATGGAACAACACAGACAGGGGGTCTTAGTCAAGGCAGGTCATGAGACTCCACCCTTCGACCTGAATCTACCTCTAGGCAGGATCCTTATGCCTCAGCACCTAGAAGGGCTGGCTCAAGACCCCTTCAGTCACCAAGT